AATGTTTTGAGTTTTAATTATACTGAATAAATTCAATTTAATTCAATTAAAAGTAATTAAATTAGTATTACTATAATGTTAACATTTACATTCTGTAATCTATGCAATAAGTGAATAGCTACGTACAGCTGTCTCTTATACACATCTAGATGTGTATAAGAGACAGTTCATGCCTATTCTAAACAACAGAGCTGTGTTATTGTCTGGGCCTGTTGAGACAAACTAAAACCATGTGCGCTGCACTGGGCGAGCCAACCAATTAGTGTTCGTGTACGTGAAACAGCAACCATGTGCTATGCTCTGGGCGAGCCAACCAATTAGCGATCGTGTATGAAACTATGTCTACTCAGCTTCGTGTAGAAAATTCGACCAGACAAGTTATTCTATGGTTGCCACACGAAGCTAAGGAGGAAAGCAATTATTTTGACCACCATCGGTAGTTGTTCATCTCACTAAGTTCACGTGGTTTTAGATTATAACAACCCGATATTACTCAATCAACGTTGCTGTTTAACGAAAATACGTTGCATTATGGTTTGTTTATTGTTTTAGTTTATTGTTACATAGTCTTTTTACTTATGGTTGCTCTGGAAAGGGCTGTTTGTTTTGAATATTTTCGGGGTTCTTGATGACATCATCGTCAATACAAGGCGTACGTAAAACCGAGGGTTCGTATAACTGGGGTACGTAAAAACGAGGTTCTACTGTATTTCCTGTCAGTGTCTTTCCTTATCCCCTCCCCAATGTGCAAAGGTAAATACCACAAACAAGGTATAGAGGCTGTCTCTTATACACATCTAGATGTGTATAAGAGACAGATTTAGAGTAGGCTGAATGTGTATACATAATTGTTATAAAATTCCCCAACAACTTAATGGTCAACTTAATAATACACTAAGTGTACTGAGTGTACTGTAGGAATTTGGTGCTTTTGTGATCTCAATTGAAAATTTGTGAGTAATTTGGCCTATTAAGCTGCTCACGCTTACATTATTTTGTGGATTTAATAGCTTTTCACTTTTACAAACCATGCAAAAGCAGTACAGTAGTATAAACATCTACAGTAAGTGTGGGCTACTCACTGTGGGTTTTGTTGTGCTGACAATATTGCCCTTCAAATCCAGTTGGACATACGCATTTCTCAGTATCGTTAACGATTTGACATGTGCCTCCATTTTGACAAGATAAGCTACATGGTGCTAAGAAATAAGACTGAATTATTAATATTGTTTTAAAATACAAATACAAAGGTCTGGCCGCAGAAATAAACCAACTTTTAAATATTCAGATACTTTCTAATGACCAACAAATTTGTCAAAACAGTGAGTACTGGTTTATTAATATAATAAAAAATAATCCCTATAGAACTTATCAACATTTGTTTTAGGGCAAATCAATTCATGAGAAAAAATATAAAAATTAAACTAAATATTTCTACACATTATTGACTTTTATGAACTCTTGGTTTAAAATTATACATTTTTTCTTGTACAGTACTATGATAAAACAAACCTCTCCACTCTTACATGGATTAGATTCAAAATTACATTTTCTAGATTACAATCCAAGTACAAAATGAACACAATACAACAAAATATATCTATTTATAGCAGTACAGTATTTCTTTTCAGTGCCTTTCCTTATCCCTACACCAATACTACCCTCCCCAATGTGCAAAGGTAAATATCACAAACAAGGTATAGAGGACACAAAATAGTCTACAAAGCATGTAATACAAATTCAACATACAACTAACTATATCTTAGGATGGTATGTGTCTGAATCCTGACAGGATGCAATGTTAGCATAAGGTAGTGAGTAAAGGGCAGTACCATAGTTATGGACGTACATTTCAGAGAACTTAACAAAGCCTTCAATACAGGCCAATGGGTTTGGGTTACTTTTGATATGGACATCTCAGGTACACCAACTAGTGCTATAACCATGAACAACAATCAGCCCTCTATCTTTTATAATTTATGAGTAATGTTCTAAAAATAGCCGGTTATGGACGTACGCAGAGAAAACGACTTTTTCAAACTTACATTAAACATTTTAAAAACTCTGTGAAGTGTGAGGTCTAAAAAAATAAATAAAAATGTGTGTATACAATGGACCTAAAGCTTCCTAATATAATTTAACTAGTCTCATTTATTGATTGTACATAGGTTTTACGTTCATTTTCTTGTGGTTATGGACGTACACACTCATGGTTATGGACGTACGTGTCTGAAAGTTGTGGACGTACACCTAAATTTTTTCATCAAAAACATACACAAATTAGCCAATATCAACTTCCAAACATCATTTATTGAAATAAAGCAGTAAAACTTTTCAAAATGTGTACTATGGACTAAAAACCTCAAACAAAAAATAATTCCTTTTTCATACACTACTGTATTACTGTACAATAAGTGATCCTGAAAAATTGATTATAGTATCATGTGTTTCAAAGGTAGGTACGTCTATTTCTATAAACTTTCATTTTCTTTTCTTATGTAGTATACATTGTAGGCCTACTACATGTGAATTTATTTTATATTTCTAAAATATCATTACAAATAAAAAGTAATTCAGAATGCATCAATTATTAATGTTCAATTTTTAACAAGCAAAATTCTAAAATTCTAGGTAGCAGTCCAGCAATAAAGGCAATTTTCTCACTTTTTTTAATGTCAGTCTATACATTAAAGTAGAACCTCGTTTTTACATACCCCAGTTATACGAACCCTCGGTTTTACGTACGCCTCATATCGACGATGACGTTATAAAAAACCCTAAAAATATTCAAAACAAACAGCCCTTTTCAGAGCAACCGTAAGTAAAAAGACTACAACAATAAACTATAACAATAAACAAACCATAATGCAACGTATTTTCATTAAACAGCAATGTTGGTTGAGTCTAATATGGGGTTGTTATAATCTAAAACCACGTGAACTGAGTGAGATGAACAACTACCGATGGTGCTCAAAATAATTGCTTTCCTCCTTAGCTTCATGTGGCAAACCATGGAAAAACTCGTCTGGTCGAATTTTCTACACGAAGCTGAGTAGACATAGTTTCGTACACGAATGCTAATTGGTTGGCTCGCCCAATTATGCATAGCACATGGTTGCTGTTTCATGTACACGAACGCTAATTGGTTGGCTCGCCCAGTGCAGTGCACATGGTTTTAGTTTGTCTCAACAGGCCCAGACAACGCCACAGCTAGCTCTGTTGTTTAGAATAGGCATGAAGGGGAACTCCCAAGTTATACCTTTGTCGTATAGGTAATCTTACAATATTTTCATGTTCTTTAGTTAAATAAAAGATATAAAGTGATGAATTAATACACTAGACACATGGTTTTATTTGACCACTTTATTATGACATCATATATTGATGAATAAAAACACTAAACACATGATTTTATTTGTAGGCCTAGAGGCTAGATCTAGCCTAGGTAACATAGTTCGTTTATACGTTTATTGAGCGTTACTTACGTATTAGGTCAAAGGTTACCACAAATTGAACCCAACCTCTATTTTACGAATTCCCCCGATTTACGTACGCCCTCCGGTCCCGTACCGTACGTAAAACCGAGGTTCGATTGTAGCTCTATACTAAACACAAATTAATCAACATGATGTTTGTCTATTTAAAAGTCAAGATATTCCTAAAATATTAAAAGTCAACTATTTTCTTAAATACATATTAATTCAAGAAATTTTAATGTCATGAATAAACTTTGGTTACAGTTATGATGAGGTATGCCATCACAAAACCAGCATACTATCTACAGTATTTATTTAAGTATAGCATAAAGAATATTGCAGTATTGTATACTTAGGTACAGAGAAGCCATAATACTTTTACTCATAACTTTGGCAATAATAAAGTTGATTCCGTTAATGACCCATCATTTTAAAGCTTACAGAGTGTGGAGAATAAGAATGTTAAAAAGTCAATTTTCATATTTTGGTCACTGATTTTTTGGATAGCAAGCCTCATATTGTAACATACTTTAATTCAACTAAAAAAAATCATTCTCATTCTCACAGAGTTTTTAAAATGTTAAATGTATGTTTGAAAAAGTCATTTTCTCTGCGTACGTCCATAACCGGCTATTTTTAGAACATTACTCATAAAACTAGAGGGCAGATAGTTGTCATGTTATTAGTAAAAGTTGATAAAGATTCTCTCTGAGAAAGAACATCAGTAGATTTTTAGTTTCCACACTGTTTACAAGATGTTCAGTGGTAACACAATTCACATTTTAGGTTTTAGTTATGGACATACAGTACGATTATGGACGTACATAAATTATAGCGTAAATATTGACTTTAAAATCGGAGATTACATTTTTTTTTTAGATGATTATACTTGGGACCTAAAACCTGCTTTGCAAATATTTTTTGGTATTATACAGAAAAATTTTAATACCTGATATTTAAAAAAAATTGAAATTTTGGTTATGTACGTACAAAAAAAATTAATCTAATTAAAATTGAATTAATGCAAACTCCGACAATTATTTTTTCTTTTTTTTGTTATAATCTGGAGAAATCTACGAAAGCCTATTAGGGCCACTGAAATATATATTTTTATGTCGTAATTACGACTTATTATGTCGAAATTTCGACATACGTATGTCGTAATTACGACTTATTATGTCGAAATTTCGACATACGTATGTCAAAATTTCAACTTATTATGTCGTAATTTCGACATACGTAAGTCGTAATTACGACTTATTATGTCGAAATGTCGACATATTATGTCGGAATTTCGACATAATAAGTCATAATTACGACATACGTATGTTGTAATTTCGACATATTTATGTCGTAATTTCGCCATATTTATGTCGTAATGACGACATAGGCTTGGGCCACTATTTATATGCTCTATAGATTTTAAAAATCAATCTTAATTACTAAAGTTAAGGATTGTCAAAAGAGTTGAAATGTACATGGGCAATACAAAAACGGTGAATGAAAAATGATGGATTTTTGTTTAAATACGGTATACAACATTAAAAAGTCAATTTAATGCTAACATTAATACTAACTTCAGGTATCAGAGTATATTTATTTTTAAAAGTAATACAATTGGGAAAAAGTTGTCCGGCCAAAGCCTGTGCGGCCGGTGTGGTTCCGATGGCCCTGCGTCAGTGGTGGGGATATTTGCCATTGGGGTTTATACTGTTTGTCTGATTTAGTTTGTATTGTAAAATACATATCATATCTCCGCCCATGATTAACGTGTACTCATTTTTACCGCTGCAAAGGATATCAATTTTATTTTCTAGTTTCTTAAAAATATTGACATTTCTTTGTAGTAATTTGGGGTGTTAACGTTTTTGTGTGTGGGTGGGGTGTGTGGGGTGAGTGTGTGTGTGTAACGTTTTGGTATTTTCGTGTGGTATTTTCGTGTGGTATTTTTGTGTGCAACATATATCAAAAACGGCTGCACTGACATAAATGAAAATAAGAGGGAGTGTTAGGCATAACCCAGTAAAGTTATGATTACATTTTGGTGACGGTCCGTAGTAGGGTGTGGGTGTATTCTATTTGTATCCTTAATGTAAAGAGCCTTTGAACATGAGTACTCATGAAAAGGGCGCTATAAAAATTTGGTAAATAAAATAAATAAAAATAAGGGGGAAAAAAACGATCGCCAAAAAAGGCCTCAGAGGTTATTTCAGTCTTTAAAACAAACAAAAAAGTTAGCGGGAAATTCCCCTGGATCCCCTGTAGTGTTATGTCGATTGGCCCAACTTTTTTCTCCACACCACTTTCGGTCAACCCACCCCACTTTTGTCGACATCTCTTGATCGGCCCCCCGAATATGGTGTGTGCGCAGGAGGGAACTCATTACCCATACCACGTTTCCCAGCCCCATTTCTCCATACCATGTCCCCACTTCGTCGTTCCATTCCGTTGTCCCCCACCCTTTTGTTCACCTATAAACAAATAAACAAATTCAAAATGCTTTTACATTTTCAGAATTCAAAATATATTTTAAACATTTTGTACCGGACAAAATTGCACCGCTGGGAGGCTATCCTTTTACTATGTAGCGTAAAAGGAGTAATTCTAGTTATTATTTATATTATCATTATTAAAACAGTATTTTTATATTTAATTTATTTCTGCCCTGTCATGAAAAACCCACTCAACTTACACATTTTTCAAAATTTACTTTTTAGCTATTT